TTTTCAAAAAGAGAGGGATTTCTTCCTGCCCTGGTGCCCTGGCCAACAATTCTCCAGATAAATTGGTCAATCATTTGTGGGAGATTGCTGTATTGCTAAATCAGCTGCTGTACGTGCTTACAAAATACACTTTACAGAAACTTTGTGCAGTGCTTTGAGATATTTTCGACATTATAGGCACTATATTAAATGCAAGGAATATTTTATTATTATTGAAAACAGCATTGCGGGGGAAGAGTCTGCTTTCTGCATAATTATCACAATAAATATCAAACTAAATTGATACCATTGTTCCCTAAATTGTTTCACATAAATTACAATAATTTCATTCCACAAATATTTAGCATTTCAGTTGATTCTTCATACATGTTTCCTATCTAAGGAGATTCATGCTTCAGTGAAATACTTTAAGGCAAACTAATTTTAATGGGAAAGAAGAACTTTGTGTTCAATGTATTTTCCTCTAGCAATAATAGAAAAACATATCTACAAAAATATCACATAATTTAATGAGCGAGCCCAATTGCTTTGCAGGTTTTCGGTATGCTTCCTCAGCAATGTGTCTGTTGGTGCAATGCATTGCAAGAAGAGCAGATCACTTTGCAGTGGGTTTGGACACTACAGACTGGCCTGGGATTTGTTGTAGGTCCATCTGTCCCAGGCTAAGCTCAGAATTGTGAGCACTGTATCTTCATGGGGTTGTGCTTCTCGGCCAATCCAAAGCATCTGTTCCTCTGTTAAACTAAATGGAGATGATCTGCCATTCACTCGGCTCAGCCCCATGTCATTGGAAGGGCACAACAGCTGTAGGTTGTTGTGAAAGAAAGGATTCATAGATTTGTGGAATCATAGCAATAAATCACAGCAGAGAAGACCATTCATCCATCGAGCCATCAAACCTAGCTCCCCTACTGGAGCTCATCACTCCAATCTCTCTCCATACCCTTTATTACGGCTGTTTGTGGGACAATTCTGCGCACAACGTATTAATAAATAATTCTTATTTAAACTTATTATTATTATTCAACTTGGTTACCGTGTTCACCTACAACAAAAAAAATATAGTCACTACACTGAAAGTAAGTCCTGCGAAACTGTTTGAGATGTCCACCTGATGTGAATCAGCGCTAAATCAAATGCAGGATTATTATTTATAGGATTATTATTATTCCTCCTCAAAAATGTATCCATTTCCCTTTCAATTGTTATTATTTGAATTCCTCACTGCAAACCTGAAATTCCACCTTGTCCTAGCCTGTAAGGTCATTTTGTCTTAAAATGTAAGATTGCACAGTTAAGACCAAAGTTTAAGAATTTGCCACAATATTAAAATTTAAGACAAATTGATTGAACGGGCTAAAACTAAATGGAATTTTGGTGCTTATATGTATAAAATATTTATAATAAATGGTAACAATAATGGTTACAATAATGGTATCCAAAGATGGTAGGTCAAACAATGTGAACACCTGGGTATATGAATTTGTTTATAGTGTAGAAACTGCTGCCACACTCTTAAGTAGCAAGCAGTGTAACCTGACGTCGAGGAATATCTGAGACGAGCAGACCACTTGCTAACCGCACTGGGAGAAACCATTACCCCCAGAAAGTGATCTGCTAATCGACTAACAACCAGGTTCCTACTAACGTCTAGGTAAACAGAGGAGTAAGGAAAATTGCCTAAGGTTTTGCCCGCCCGGGAATCAGACCCAGGTCCTCTTGTTTGCATACGACATACAAATCTCATCCACCACAGATATTTCAGCATCGGAGGCGAGTGTTCTAACCACTGCACTATGGGACTCCTCAAATGGTAACAATAGCTGTATAGATAAATGCAGACAGCATCCAGGTAGAGGTAGCTCCATGACATAAATAGATGTCATCAGTACTTTATGGGTTAATGTTGCTCAGTCAAAATTTTATGTCTAGGTATTAATGGTGTGAATTTATTTTTAATGGGAAAGTAATATTCTCCACTTTGTTCACTGTTTATGTAATGTGCAACTTTTTTTGCTTGCTTTCACTTGCACTAAGCAACTTACATCAAGAAATTGACATTTTGAGACTGCTTATTTGAAAGGTATTGTTACTATAGTGAATGCAGAATGCAGCACCATAGGGAATAGTTTTTTAATATTACAAGATTCATAGTGACATTTATTTTCTGTGAATTTATGGATCACTGTATAACAATTGAGTGGTCTCTAATGCACACTGTCAGACAACCAAAGGCAAGACTATGACCTACATTTTACAGCCAACTCTGCAGAAATAGGTCAGCATTTTGCAGTTCTTACTAGTAAGATATTTTTGTGTGCAGCTTGTGGAGCGTGTTAAATATCATGCTAAATTTGTCACATTTTTTCATAACTATAATTTGGTTAGTCATGTGATGTAATTCAATTAATCTTTTAATAGTCTGTTTGGCACACAAGTCACACTGCAAAGTCCCAATTGAACAATACTGGAAAGTCTGTGGTGGATGAGATTTGTATGCTGGTGGATGCAACATACTAGCAAAGCTACAGTGGCTTATTATAGTTACATTTACTGCAGCTACAATAAGCACACAACACCTTACCTGTTAAAAATCATGTTTCTAATAACATTAGTTTGAAAATACCTGCAGTTTATTAGCAGAGATAGGAAATGCACATTCCTTACACTTAATTAAGTAAAATGTGAATCCTTTTTTGTAACATTTTGTGTTCCAGTAAATTGTGTTACTCAGTAACTGTCAAGCAGAACCAAACTTTTGAAAACGCAAATTGCAACTGTCAACAGTAACATTACATTTATTCATTTTGTTTCAAAAATATAAGAAATAAGCATTTTGATTCTGTCTTGAATCAGATATGTGTAAACGACAACATTCAGGGCTTGTTCTGTGAGAGCGTTTTTATAGGCATTATGAGAGAGAAATTATATTTTGGTCTAGATTTATTCTAGCCCAGAGTGTTCAGAATATGGCAAGTTTTTAAATACAGCTTTAATTATGAACTTTATAGAAAAAAAATGTTCAAAGTCGATATTGAATTCAACAATTTGCCAAAATCTGGACATTCTAAAATACTACATAAATAAAGTAAATCTAGACCCAGGTGGAATATGTCACCTTATGCTCATTCTGGACTGATTCAAATAGTGACACACAAATCTGTCATTGAAATAGACTGACTGAATCATGGTGTGGGCAGTGGGGGTGGGGAGGTGGTCCTCTAAATCATATGGCTTTCACAACATGTAACTCAATTACATAAAGTTATTTTGCAGATCAGCCTTGAATCCATGTGATGCAACATTTATGGTAACAGCAAACTTGAGTGATTTGCTGATTCAAATGCAACCAATTCAGCCCACGGTTGAGGGGGTGGGAGAAGGCAGAGGTATCTTTATAGAGAACTGAAAAAAGCCCACACTGTTTTCAAACTGAGTGCCAGAGTAACGCATTTACTGGTGCATGAATATTTACCGGTGCACAAACATGGTGAATGTAAATGTGTAGTGCATATGGGAATCTGTAACTTGATCAGCCTCGTCCTCACTTTTAAAGCTCTCCTCAGTCATGCTCCTCCCTACCTCTGCCACCTATTAACACCATACCAACCTGTCCTCTCCGTCTGCTCGGCAGGCACTGGCCTGCTCCATTTCCCCCACCCATGATTGGTGGGCATGCCTTCAGCTATTTTGCTTTCACCCTCTGGAACTCCATCCTTTATCCTCATCCTGAATCCCTCCACCTTATCCCCTCCCTTGCCTCCTTCAGGGCCCATCTCAAGACCTTCTTCTTTGTTAGTGCCTTCGGCCAACCTCCAAACCCCATCTCCCCTATCCTTTGTCCTCCCATCTTTCTTGATTCCACCCCTCCCGCAAACCCTTAACTATCCAGCGCTATGGGTCTATGGGTCATCCTTATGACGTGAAAGGCACTATATAAGTGTAATTTATTGTTGTTGTTGATGCATATGAAAAATAAGGCTCCCGTAATGGCTCAACAACTTTTATCTGAACCATACAGTCTGGGAGAGTCCTGTTTTTGAGCTAAACTTAGCTAATCTAGGCCAATCCAGCAATAGATGTGTCACAATTAGCTTCAGTACTGGATTACAGAATGCACATTCAGCCTTGGTTCCCTCAATGGACTGCTGGCTTCCTGTGCTAAATTGTGGCCTAATTAAATAGTAACTTCTTCTTCAGGTCACTGTCGACATCACACTACGTGCAGGAAGTGTCACTGATATCACTTGATGTTACATCAGCAGTGCTTCTCATATATAATACAAACATACTCAACACACTGGATGTGACGTGAGCTGCGATTTGATGAGCTGGAATGTGGCAATTTTTTTTCACACTCTATTTTAATGTGAGGATCTGAGATATTGGACCCAGATCACTGTGATAAAACAGGGTTAACCTGTTTTAGTGTTGGTCCCAGTAAACAGCCATTATAAGTTTACAGTGTTTATATTCTGTAGTTAAAACATTCGGTCCATCTAGTTGAAGTATGTTATACATTAAAAAAAATTGTAGAATAAAACCTTTGCACAGCTAATGCTCCTGGCAGGGCAAAACCTTAGACAAGTTTCCTTACTCCACATGCCTCTGTTTACCTGGCAATAATAATCCCTTCAAAAAACAATGTGGCTGTTGAACCCATGATTGTTTGTGGGACAATTGGCTGCCAAGTTTCACACACAAGAAATAGTCACTCCACTTTACAGTGTATTCTGTGAAGCGCTTTGAGACGTTTCAACGACGTGAAAAGACGCCATATCAAATGCAAGGATTATTATTATTATTATGTTCAACATTAAATCCCAACATCTTTAGAGTGTTTCAACAGCTAGTTCTTGTCAAGTAAGATTTGTGACTGTGTATTTTGTAGACGAACACTGAAGAGACACCTAGGAATGTAATTAGATGAATAAGCCACCTTAGACCACTTTGTGTTTTGTCTATGGACTGGTGTTCTGACAATTCTGTATTGGTTACAGGAATGCTACAGTGTGGCAAGAAGTTTGATTCTTCCAGAGACAGGAACAAGCCTTTCAAGTTCAAGATCGGCAGACAAGAAGTAATTAAAGGCTGGGAGGAAGGTGTAGCGCAGGTATTTCGCACTACTTATGTCTACATTCTAAAATGTTATCTTTCTAACCAACTAAATGTTATTAGACATATTATTATCATGGTAACCATGGTAAAGAGTTGTATGATAGTGTAACTATATGTGTATAACTAGTGCTGTGTATGGCATCTGATACAATTTTATGTCAGATAATGCACTAGATAATACGTCAAGCTTCAAGGTCAATTATCCTATTTGAATGTGGAGAAAGAGTAATGCTGATGTTTGAATAAAAGGTTTGGTTGGTTGGATGTGTTTAAAATAATGAAGACAATTGACCAGATGGATAAAGGCGGATGACCCTCTAGAAGAGGGATCCAAGTCAAGGAGAATGTGGGGAATACTTTGAATTTTTCTTACAATTCTCGTCAACCTATAGGACATTGTCAAATCCCTTCAAAATTTTTCCTTGCTCCACCTCTGCCCTATTCTCCCGCCTGTATCCTCTGCTCTTCTCACTCTGCTCTACTGCTCATTTGTCACTCGCTCCTTCCCACCAATAGTAACCGAGCCTACAGCCACTATGCTCCTGCTTTCTCACAACATTCCTGTGCTTCCCATCCTCTCTTCCCACTTTCAAAACTTTCTTCATTTTTCCTTGTCTTCGGTCAACACCCTTAAATTCCTCCTCCTGGTTGGGAAATCCTCCATCCTAGCAAAGCACTTGAAGATAGTTCACCCTCCATAAAAGGCACTATCTAAGTGCAATTTGTTTTAGTTATTGATTTGTTTTACTAATCTGAAAGCTGATCAATGCGATTACAGTCTGATAACTCATAAATGATTCTTTTTTAAATGAATAACAGATGAGTTTGGGGCAAAGGGCAAAGCTGACCTGTACTCCTGATGTGGCATATGGTGAAAGAGGCTTTCCTGGTGTCATTCCACCCAATGCCACTCTTATCTTTGATGTGGAGTTGCTGAAGTTGGAGTGATGGAGTCCTTAAAGGATGTTTTAATTACAAGGTACCGTATGTTTTAGATCATTCCAATTGTTAGCAGAGAAAATGGTCTTCAGAGATTTGAACTGAAATGTCTTAAGGTTGGAACGTCGATCTTCAGGTCACAACCAAGAGAAATGAATTCCCAATCCTGCTGTTCTTTGAGCAGTGTTTAATTTTGAGCAGTGTTCCATTATCTGGCATACAGCAGCAAAACAAAACAAAAAATTCTGCTCTTAAGGAGACAAAAGGTTTAGTCAAAATAAACATAGCTTGATAGGTTATTCACTTCACCAGGTAATAAAATGTTGTCAATCAGGCCAGTGGACATTGCTTGAAGTTTGCATGACATTCTGATTTTGAAGCCTAACATTATAAGTAAGTGATATTGATCCCGGGTGCACAGCACATTTAGTTTTAGGTTCTTTATTTTTCTTATCTTTTAGCACATTCAAAAATGCACATATAGTGGTGGAATACCAAGTGCTTATCCATACCCACTCAAACTCCCCATGTGTGGGAGGAACCCCATTGCTCCCCAATCACACTGTACAATCTGTCCTCAATCCCCACAGATAATCTCTGGAGCATTTGACCATTGCACAGAGTGGGACTGCAGAAAAAATTACAACGTGCTTGCAATTACATCAGCACAGTCGTGCACAAATCACGTCAGCCCACGCGCACGCAATACAACAATATAATTGGCAAGAATTAGAGTACTTCAAGGCAGCACCAACAGCAAGCTCCATTCTGACTCACCCAAATCCTAACCCTCCCACAGCTCTCACATCCACTCAGACTTGCTCACTCTCCCCCATCCCCTCACAAACTCAGACCTGCTCCATCCAACTTTAATCCATTGTGAATTTGACCACCTCTACCTGACTTTGAATCCAAATGCTTTGGGTGGGATACTGGCTATTAAGCTGTGCAAAATACTGTCCAGGTGTCATATGATACATAGATAGTATCCTTTCTCTTTTTACGTATTGCCATGGGATTTTTGACAAACACCCGAACAGGCAGATGGGACCCCGGTCTACGTCTCAGCCACAGGACAACATAGTGCTCCGCAGCCCTGCATTGGAGCATCATTGGATGTGAATACAAAGTCCCGAAGACAGCTGACAAATAATTAAGAACAGATTTGGAAAAGTAAAATGACACACGTGTTAAATTGTTTTTTTTTACAACAGTTTTCACATTTCAGAATCTTTAATAAAAACAGTGGCAACAGAGTACGTATCGGGAAGAAATGGAAAGCCTGAAAGTCACGCCTAATGAATCTACTGGGTTTCTTTGAGGAAGTGTTAACTTTAAAAAGAGCCCCCAATTGTGACATGATGCTATTATTATAATTAACTTCTACAATAACCATCAGGATGGCAGGCTTCATTGCAAAACCTGGCAGTCAGTCCAACCGGATAAAAGATATCCAGTGGTTATAGCTTATTTTGTTAGAAAGGCATTCGATAAAAAAGGGACGTCCAAAAGTTTTCAAAGATGATTACATCTTATGGAGTTGAGGGCAAATTTCAGGTTCCCCCCTACCCCTTTACAGCTCCATACCCCCATGACCGCCCACCCAACCCATCTCCCCCCCGGCTCGGGTGTCCAGCCAGCTGTGTAAAGTGCTTTAAAGAATCCCAACAACATGATAATGCTAACCTGGTGCTACAATGATGACAAAATAAATATACAAGAATGATTTGTACTTCAATATACAAATTGTAATTTTGTTTTTGTTTTTTCTCTTTAAAGGAAGACATGGGGGAATCCTGGGTTTCAATGCTATGGACAGATGTTCAGTGACTCACAAATACTTGTGAAGAAGACCTTTCTGATATTTATAAAAAGCCCGATACCTGGCTATCTACTTCCTGTTTGTTTACTCTTGATATATGCATTTGTCCGTTTTGATTGACAGTGTTGTGTTACTTTGTAGATTTTGTGCTTATGGGATTCAGATTTCAATCATTTTTGTTTGTCTGTTTAATTGCATGTAATATTCAATGAATTTAAATGATTTCTCAATACTGTTTCATAAAGCTGACCTGACAAGGAGCCAACCTAACTTTTGAACAGCAAATGCCTTAAGAAAAGGTGTACAAAAATTTCTACAGCATTTAAAAACTGGGCATTTCTAACAAACTGGAGCACCTGTATCACCAGTCTTACACTGAATCAAGAGCTGATGTAAAACTTGGTTGTGTCAACAATAAATCTTTTATGTGCACCATATAGTCCCAGTTATACTTTTTTGTCCGTTGAGACAAATTATCGATCTTGTTGAATTTAATGTTTTGCTAAGAAGTTCTCCAAGTTAGAACTGTATGATAACTCCACGGGCTAGGACATGCAATGCAAAACTGAAAAAGAATGTAGTGTTACAAAAATATGTTGAAGACATCCTGGGAGCTCAAGTGCTTGACTGTGAACCACAAGCCGTAAGATTCAATGTGAAAGCTGCCCTGTCCTTCAGGAAGTCTATGCTTTAGTTGAGTGAGTTTAATGTGTTGTCATCGAGAAGGTAACATCATCATGTAATAATTACACCTGTCAAGCTGTCTGATCTCACCCACTTTCGGTTTCTAGTCCAAGGAATTATCATGGGAACAAATGGCACTTGGAATAGGGTATTTTGTAAACAGAGAAAATAAATATTAAAAGAGATCAGTAGTTTGGATGAGAGATTTTTTAAAATAATATTTGTAAGACACTAATTTAAATAATTTTAACATCATAACTTTTACTTTTTGAAATGTGGACATTGTAAACGTTTATGAAATTCTATCTTGCCTGTCTATTTGTCTGACTACCTTCAAGACTGGCTTCAAGAAATTCTAATTATAATAAATAATCATACTTACAATTTTTATAATTCACCATGTTATTTGGTTCAACAAAAATGTTCCATTCGAACAAGTGTGCTGACTACTACATAGGAAAATGTGGCAACTGGTCTCCATCAGTAAGGTTATATAAACAGTGAGATGAATAACCAATTAATCTTTTTTCATGAACTTGGATGATTCAGGAAGAATACAGTGCCACTTAAAATAGTGTCATCAGGCTTTTAACATCCATCTGAAACACCGGAATAGGGGGATAGAGACTCTGTATAATGTCTCTGCTCTTATAATGCGCCTTTGTGCCTTTCACATGGATAGTATCATGGCCTTTTTCTGTGCCGTAAATTTCTATGGTAATGTCTTGTAGCACTTTGCAGAGATGGAGTGGAAATATAAATAAAATAATAATAATCTTTGCATTTGATATACTGTAAAGTGAATTGATTGTATATTTGTGGGCGAAATGCAACAGCCAATTGTGCACAGCAGTGTTCCACAAACAGTCGTGGATTGAATATGACCAATTTATTATTGTTTTTGGTTTTGGAGGGATTATTATTAGGCGTGTGGAGTAAGGAAACTTGCCCAAGGTTTCGCCCTGCCTGGAATTGAACTCAGATCTCTCACTTGCAAAGCGAGTGCTCTAACCACTGAGCTACAGGACATGGTGAGCAATGAGTCAACTAACACTCTAAATCTCTTTCAGCCTTCTAAAGCAATTTACATCCCATCCAGAGATCTAGGGTGTTAGTTGACTCATCGCACACCATGTCAAAATAATTGAGGGAGCAATAAGCAAGCCAAAGCCAAGTTGCTGAGCTATATTACAAAGTTGAGTTCAGATCCCAGATGTCATACTCAAACTGTATTGTGCACTGGTTAGGTCTTGAAAAGTAATCCAGAGACATGGGGTTCACTTTTATTGTACTCAGATGACACCTAACTTCATCTCTCTGTTTCTTCCCTTGACTCCAGGGTCATTGCTTTTGTGACCAATTGCCTGTTAGACACAAGTCCTGGATGAGCTCTAACTTTCTTCAGTTAAATGTAGACAAGAATCCCCCCTCCCCCTCGCTCCTTTGTGTTTACTGACCATTACAATTTTAGTACCTACAGATCCCATTAGTTTGCCATTTGTGAACCATTTAAGATGTCAGCCTGAGGCCGTTGGCAGCACAGGTTTGGGCTTAGACCCCATGTCAGATCTTTCAGCTCAAGTCATCAAGGCTGACATCCCAATGGAGGACTGGGGGAGCGCTGTATTGTTGGAGGTGCCATTGTTCAGGTGAGACCTTTAACTAAAGTCCCATCTGTCTGTTCAGGTGGATGTTAAAGATCCCTGATACTACAGTATTTGAAAAGGAAAGGGATTTTCTCTGGGTTTCCTGGCCAACAAACCCACAAATAAAAAAAGTCATTAAATTTATGACTGTTTGTGGGATGTTGTTGTGCACAAATTGGCTGCTTCATTGGCCTACGTATACACAGTCATTACATTTGTTATATAGATGGTATATCAGGTGCAAAGATTCTTACTTAAGTTACTATTTCAGGTTCAATTGGGACCAATTCTCTTCTATTTTCAAATAGTACCATGGGGATCTCTAACATTGCTTGAAAGACAAACAGGAGGTTGGATTAACAACCTGAAAGTCAATGAAGGTTATATACAAGATGACTCTGTGTAAGTTGCACATTATGTGCAAATAATAATAATCTTTGTGATGTCTCAAAGTACTTCAGAGGATTTACTGTAAAGTGTAATGACTGTACATTATGAGCAGTGACAATAACAGCAATATTATTACATCGGTGACTATAAGTATCCAAAGCCAGAAAATTATTTTTTGTTAGTTTTGTATTTGCTGGCTTTACTTTAACTGAACTTTGTCTTATTCATAATTGGCCATGTAAGTGGGTGGGTGGGTGGGAGGAGGATGGCAAAGTTGTTGGGACACTTTAAGTATAGATGCTGCCTCTTCCAAGACCTGATGTGGAATGTGCTTCAGATGATTCTAGATTATTTTGAATGGCTTCATGCCAGAACAGTGTGAAGCAGGTTTGTTGGCAATGCACTAGTGTAATGAGAAGATAAACAAGACAGCCCATCTGTTTTGCCCACTGTGCTTAGCCCATTGGTGTAATATTATGCAGATATGACTGACTATTTATTTGGAATTTTCCAGGTTTTCGTTGGAATGGACATTGTCCCTCACCTGCTTGAAGTAGGGAAAGATACATCTCTCAAATCCTATGTGATTATTTATTAGGTTTCGAAGGACCAGCATTTGACAAGTGTGGATAATGTCTCTATCTACTGTTGCAGAGTCTTCAGTGTGTTTGTTACCAACTGAGCCAGGCCGATACATAAATATGGACACCTAAGACTAGAATTTATGCTGTTCCCTATCAACAAAATCATTTGAAAGTAAATTAATTTGAAGGAAAAATCAAAGACTTCTTGTGTTAAAATACACACCAAATTCCGTTGACCTTTTCTTCTGGTGCAAATATTTCTACATTTTTAAGTTAAATCTTCAATTTGTCCTCATGAACAGGTGGGGTTCAGAAAAGGTTTATTTTCCTATTTGAATTCCATTGTTTTCAGGCTTTTAATACATGCTAATCCACAACTAGTTGTTCTTGTTTAATAAGCTCCAGGCTACATTTCAAGAAACAACCATGGGAAATTTGACAGCAGGTAGGATTGGGAAGGTAAATATTCTTTCAAAGCAGGTATTGCTGCTTTTAGATATAAATATTGGTTGCTTGTTGTGTCTGTACAGCTAGAAGCAGCTCTCCTTATCAGAGATTTAGTTTCAACACTACAGAAAAGATTATTCCCACTGAGCCGTTGCCTTGACAAGCCTTTGCAATATAATGAGTTCCATCTTAGAACCAACCTTCTATTGATAACAATATTTCACTTGGAGAATGTTATATATATATATATAACATATACAGAATACCACATCACAATTTCCTCTACATTCCGGGGGGATATGTTGAGTTCTTAACTACTAACTTCCAAAAATAGCTACTTTCAAGATCTTTAGAGTTTTGAGAAAGCATTTGCATGACTATGTCCAGAAAATACCAGAATATTCTCTTTCAACACAACACATCAGATTAAAATGGCTGAACAACGAAGCAACAAATCACATTTGTGGATGTAACCTTTTTTGTTGGAGACCATGGAGAGTATAATTAACACTCATACGTAGGACAAGACTTTCCTTCCTTTCTCATTCAAAACTCTGCAGCCGCTTACTACCCCGGACCAAAATTCCGAACCCATATCTCACCGGTTTCACTGGCTCATCACTGAATGGATCGACATTTTCAATCCATGACTGTTTGTGGGACATTGCTGTGCGCAATTGGCTGCCATGTTTGCCCACAAATATACAGTCAATTCACTTTACAGTATATTTTGTGAAGCGCTTTGGGACGTCCAGAAGACGTGAAGAGCGCTATATCAAATGGAAGGATTATTATTATTATTATTATTATTACGGCCACCTCCCACTTCCCCCCTCCCCCTGGCCTGGTGTCAGGCTCTGACACTGGTAAGCGCTCTGAGAAGCTACCCTGTGTGGAGGGTGCTGTATAAGTGCAAGTTGTTGTTGTAATGGAAGTCCTATAGCTCAGTGGTTAGAGCACTCGCCTCGCAAATGAGATACCTCGGTTTGATTTCCAGCAGGGCGAAATGTTGGGCAAGTTTCATTACTCTACTCGCCTCTGTTTACCTAGCAGTAAGTAGGAGCCCAGTTGTTAGTCGATTGGCAGATTGCTTTTCTGGGGGTAATAATTCCTTAAATAAAAACTATAATAATAATAAATTGGTCACTTCAATCATGACTGTTTGTGGGACACTGCTGTGCGCAATTGACTTCTGCATTTCACCCACAAAATATATAGTTAATTCACTTTACAGTACATTCTGTGAAGCGCTTTGAGACATCTTGAGGATATAAGGAGCTATATCAAATGCCAGAATTATTATCATTATAGAAATATTCAGTTGGTGATAAGGGAGACTAACCTATTGGAGCATGACTCAGATATCCCTTACCACTTGACATTGCCCTTTATCCAGTCAAATCAAATGCAAATGTTGTCTGAGTAATTTACATTTGCAGAATAAGGACCAGTGGAACTAAGGTTGAAATAGGTAAAAGTATTCCAGCTGATTGCCTTCTACTGTCAGGTTAGTGTGGGCTGGGAATTGCTTAATAAATGCTCCCATTTTCTCTCTGTTATGGCTAATACTGCCCACATTATAATTTTTGTGGTTGGGTTGGAAGTTCCCCATGGAAACATTTATTTTACTCTCTAATTTGAATAAACAACCTGTTTATTGTTTTCACACAAACTAATTGCTAGT